TGCATTTTAGGTTTTGGGGTACATGTGAAGAACATGCAAGATTGTTGCATAGGTACACAGGTGGCAGTGTGATTTGCTGCCTTCCTCCCCATCACCTACATCTGGCATCTCTCCCCAGCTCCCCACCCCTCACCATCCCTCCCCTGTTTCCCCTCAACTGACCCCAGTGTGTAGTGCTCCCCTCCCTGTACACATCCACGGGTTTTTATTAGGTGCACACACTCATTAATTGAGGGGTGGAAAGCAGTGGGGGGTTTATCAGGGAGGCCTTGAAACTATTGTGGGGCAAGATAGCTAGGGAGAAGCATTCATGATTAGAATACAATGAAACAGGTGGTTCTTCTAAGAGAAGCTAATCTAGTACACCAAGTTTACAGCTGATCATTATCGATATGCAGCTGCATCAGAACACAGCAGGTAGGGTGCCACCAAGTCTGACCACACACAATGCATCAAAGAGCTTTTATCTCCCGAGCATTGTGGACATAAGGCAACCAAAATTACCCTATATTCTGAGAACATAGGCAGAGCAGGAGGTGTTCCACTATCTTCACCTGGAAGGCCTTGCTGCCTTGCCAGCTCCCATCTGCAAAGACCCTCCCAGATCTTGTGAGCAGAGATCACCAACGTTTCCCAGGTGCTTACACAAGCCCTCTTTACGAGACTCCTGTGCAGACCCCATGTTGGAAAGGAGTTCGTGGAACCAAGGCAGTGTTTTCCTGCCTTGCAACCACATCGCGGATGTACCACGGTTAATGGGGCGCTCTCAGATGGTCTAACTTTAGGCCTCCCATTACTGCTTTTGCTCATGCTTTTACAAGCTACAAGCTGTTCTTTTTTGTGCTGTGCTTTTCATTCACTATTGTTTATCTCAGGGTATAAACTTCAGTGTACCGCAAACTCTATAAGCTAATAAGCAAATCAAACATATTTGTTTAATCAGTAGTAGTAGAGACAGCATATGTCTGCCCCTGGTCATCTGGGTCCACAGTCCAACATATATATGAATTAGCATGCCTTTCATTTATATTACCTTTTTAAATATGGCAGGCATTATTTAATTTCTATTCTGCAGATATATAAACTGAAACACAGAAAAGCTTTGCAGCATGCCAGAGAGCAGCCTAAGCCACAGACTCCTCATTTATAAATGTCTCAAATAGCTGTACTATGATATAAATATGAGTCATTAGGATTTAATTACCTTAAAATACCCTAATTACTGATAAAATGTATTTAGTAGTATGAGATTTGGTAGATGTAATCCTTAAGATGTGACAATATTAACATTTCTGTCAACCTAAAATTTTTATTTATGTGTTTGACTACTTTTAAAAGTTTAATATCCGTTCTTCTCTAAGATGCCTTACGTGTTTAACTGAATTTTATCCCACTCATCAGCTTCATAGTCTCCCCACTCTCGTCTTCTATTCTCAGAAATTCATTGGTTTTTAAAATGTCTTTAGACATCAATCATTTTGCTTTTTTACTAGAATCAGGAATTTTTCTGGTTCAGCAAAAACATCTTTTTCAAAATTGCCAAAGGCTGCTTTCAGATACTTTGTCGTTTTAAACCTAGTAGATATTTTGTTTTTTCTTGTAGGTGTTGACAGCTCTTCTACCACAAGCAGTGCTTCTCCAATGCCTAACAGTTATGATGCCTTGGAAGGAGGCAGTTACCCAGGTAATTTGTTGTTTTGTTCTTGCTTGATCTTCATTTTAAAAGTTATTAACCATCAGTTCCCTTCAAATGTGAACATGTATTATACATAATAGCAGGTTATATTTTTAACAGAAATAAAGGACATTTTTCTGGCATTTCTCAGCCTCAGCCTCCCTAGTGTTGTCACTACCATGAAGGTTGTTTCTGAGGTCATTATTTTTTGTTGTTACCATACTCTTTTTATCTTTTTCTAAAAGATTTTCAATAGTTTTTCTCTTCTTTCTCCTTCTTTTTAAAGAATAACTATAATCCTTGCATAAATTTTATGTTTCTATTCTCATGCTTAGGGCTTTGAATTCTTTTTAGCCAGTCTCTGAGCATAGTTTTTGACTCTTTGCTCCCTCAAAGGCTTCTGGCCGCCCTCAGTGGGTAAATAGATGCTACCTCCAACTTGGGGGTAGGTTTTAGAGACATCACTTTTAACCATATCTGGAAATCACTTTAGTCATTACATGCAAGTACAGGAGTGGGTAGTATTTTTTTTAAAAACTATCATTTCATTTTAGTATCTTACCCTGTGATTTTTCTTGTTCTCCTGTCTCCTATCACTGACAACCTGACAACTGTACCTGACCTCTCTCTTTTTCTAGGGATTCCAAACTTTAACAGAAAAAGCAGTTTTGCCTTTCTCTTTATTTATCTCTTTGTTGATGATGCAGGGTTAAGCTTAATTGAAGTTGGAATGTTCTATACTTAAAAATACCATACTATCTTGCTATCGCTATTCTATGAATCAGTAGAAAACTTTATCTTTTCAGCTCAGTATGGAATTCCTTTGTAATATTTTAAGAATACTTGAATGAACGACTCTGTTTTTTGTAATTAAGGATTTTTGCCCCTAGGAAATGTACAAGAGAAAGAGCGAGAGAAAAAGTGTGTGTGTTTGCGTGTGTGTGTGTGTGAGTGTGTGTGTGTGAAGTTGTAAACCATTCAAAAAATAATCTCTTGTCAAGATATTCTAGAAGAGTTGCTTCATTCACTAAAAGATGAACAACCATATAGTACCTCATGAGCTCTAAATTAATGTGGAGTGAAACGTTTAGCGTAGGATAGTTGAAAGATTCTGGCTCCTACAGTCAGACTTTGGTTTCTTTGTATTCATTCGGTCAACATATTCTAATCTTATAATGAACTGTGTGTTGAGAGTATTTCAATAGACGTGGACAAGTTTTCTACCTATTTATACTGCACCAAAATTAAAGAAGTATGTGAGCATCTGTAGCGGTAATGTTAAATGATTTGTAGGTCTGCTATAGGTCAAGTACTAGGGTAGATCTCTAGAAATGTAAGAATTATCCTTTCCTGAAGAAGATAAGAAGATTTAGACCTTCATGTTTATAACTCCAATTTTATTATCTCTCTCTCTTTCTTTTTTTTTTTTTTTTTTGCATGCCATTACTCTACTACTCAGGCTGGAGTACAGTGGCATAATCATGGTTCACTGCAGCCTGGAACTCCTGGGCTCACATCCTGTCTCCGCAGCCTCCCAAGTAGCTGGGACTACAGGTGCATAGCACCATACCCAGCTTTTATTTTTCTCTACATATAGATAGGGTTTCACTTTGTTGTCCAGGCTGGTATCAAATACCTGGCTTCAAATAGTCCTTCCACCTCAGCCTCCCGAAGTATTGGGATAATAGATGTGAGCCATTGCACCCAGCCCTAATTTTTTTTATTTCTTATGCTGATAACTTGTCATGTTAAGAGAAGCTCTGCCCATGTTTCCATCACCATGAGGAGAGACAAGCAAGAGATCTAAGGATTATGACACCGCATTGAAGGTCTTACCCTCTTAAGAAGTCAGGGAGGTTACCAGAAAGCTAGTAAGTGATCCTTGCCTAATCAGCACAAGATGATAGCAGAATAACCAGGAGTGTATCTTCAGAATTAGAGCCAATAAGGAGATATGATTCCTTAAAAAAAAAAAAAAAAAAAAATTGATTCAGTTAAATGTTTCTAAGAATATATGTGTGTATATATATATATATATATACATATATATATGTATATACATATATATATATATATATATATATATTATTAGAGAGGAGAGAGAGTGAATGTAGACAATGTATTTTTGCAGAATCCAACTGCTGGTAAAGAATATGAACTAAAATGAATGCACATTGTAGAGTTCACATCAAAATGGGACTAAACAGTCAATATACCAAATTGTTAATAATGCTTATGTGCAGTTTAAAGTAACTTTTAGAGTTTCTTTCTGTTATTATTGTTTTTGTACATGATATTTAAGTTTTCTACAGTTTTTTTGTCTTAATTCACTTTTTGTTTTAAATTTAAATAAGGACATTTGAAATTTAAGGACATTCATTCATTAAATGCATTTTATTTGACATTACATGCTAAACATTGTTCTAGGTGTGGGACGCTATTCTAGATACTATCTTTCATACTTTCCTCAGAGTTTTGCCACTGCAAATAATGCACATTTATAGGGGATTATGGAAACATACTTCTTCCATAGAGTTAGTTTTAATATTGATGGTAGGGTCAGATAAAGCAAATTAGAGAAAAGAGTAAGTGGCACCTCTTTTATTGCTTGCTTTGTTTTGTGCTTCTTAGTTTCTCCTGAGAGAATTTTTTAAAACTGTATTAACTCTGTGTGTGTGTGTGTGTGTGTGTGTGTGTGTGTGTGTGTGTGTGTGATATATATTGCTCTTACCTGTTAGAATTACCAGCTCAAGGGGCTCATGCCTGTACTCTCAGCACTTTGGGAGGCCAAGGTATAAGAATCTCTTGAGCACAGGAGTTCAAGACCAGCCTAGGCAGCATGGGGAGACCCCATTTCTATTTGAAAAATGGAAATACTAGCCAGGCATGGTGGCTCACGCCTGTAATCCCAGCACTTTGGGAAGCTGAGGCAAGCGGATCACGAGGTTAGGAGTTGGAAAACAGCCTGACCGACATAGTGAAACCCCGTTTCTGAAAACAAAATTAACTGGGTGTGATGGTGCATGCCTGTAATCCCAGCTACTCAGGAGGCTGAGACAGGAGAATCGCTTGAACCCGGGAGGTAGAGATTGCAACGAGCCTAGATCTCGCCACTGCACTCCAGCTTGGGCGACAGAGTGAGACTCAATCTCACACACAAAAAATTAAAAAAATAAAAAATAAATACCAACTAAAGTTGGTGAAATGATGTAAAATTTGGGGTGGAGTTTTCTCATAAATACTCCTGCAAAAAAGGAAAAAAAAAAAAAAGATGTAGTAGGACAACATGTAAAACAAGATTAGCAAAATATGGATAATTATTGAAGCTTAGTGATAGGTGTTTGAGGTTCATTATTCTCCCTACTTTGTGTGCGTTCAAAATTTCTTAGAATAAAAAGCTTTAAAAAGCAAAAGGGAAATGCCAAGGGTTATAGACTGGATCGTAAGTCCAGTCTTGGTGGAATCTTGATTTTTAGTTGTTAACATCAGGTGTTTCTATTTTTTTAGATATGCTTTCTTCATCAGCAAGCAGTCCTGCTCCTGATCCTGCCCATGAACCTGATCCTGCTCCTGCTCCTGCTCCAGCTTCAGCTCCAGCTCCTGCCCTTCCTCAGCCTTCGAAAATGGCTAAGCCTTTTGGCTATGGCTATCCAGCGCTTCAGCCTGGTTATCAGAATGCTACAGCACCACTTACTTCTGGGGTACAGCCCAGTAACCCAGTATATTCTGGATTCCAGCAGTATCCTCAAGTATGTATTTAGTCATATACACACATTGTAACAGCTATAAAACTTAATTCTGACAAATTCCTGGTGGGGTTTGTACCTTTGATTCAAATGGATCTTAGTGACAAATACAGATCAGCCTAGGTCAACCATACATAGAATTTGATCTCAGGTTTTTTGTGTGTATATATTTAGAAAAAGATTAAATGAAGTATACATACCACATTTTTAAAGAGGTTAAATCTAGCTTAAGATATTAGCTATGATTTTTTTCTTCATTGTGTCTTTGTCAGTCTACAATTGCAGATATTAATTTTATAATCAGAAAATTTAAGTAAACATTATGTTTTTTTAATTTTCTATTATTAAACTGGCATTCTCTTTGGAAAATGACATGGTAAAATGTGATTTGGTCTCTGTTCTTCATTTGAAGAACTTTATGACACATAACTGACCTTGATGAGAGCCTCCAGATACATAAATATGCTCATCAGTTCACATGCTCGTTTACTGCTAAAGTGGCTACGATTGTCTGGGTATAAACCTGGGGTTTGTCATCCTGCAGCCAGGAAAATTTAGGACACCTATACACATGAGTTTGGGGTGGAAGCTTAATAGGCAGAAGAGAAGAGAAAGAGAAACAGCTTTCTCCATAGAAATGGAGGCGTCTCCCAGCGGAAAAGACCAGCTGGTGGTTGATGCACCGGATTTTATAGT